AAAAAAAAAAAAAAAAACATAGGATGAGATTAAAAAAATTAGCATATAAAATGACAAATGCTGACTCAATGGACAAATAGTCTTATCCCATCGTATCCATGTCAACCCTAGTAAACGAGGCCTAAATAGTGAAAATCGTTCTAGTATCCCAAGCCGAGCTCGGCTAAGAGCCAGCTAGCTTGGCTATGGTTTGATTGTGCAGCTCAAACATAAGGTCCGTGGGTTGTGGTGGTAATGTGGACCTAACTTATTTAGTTAAGTTGTAGGCTTAGTAGTGGGCCTAGTGGCATGGACTGGCTGCTTTTACTGGGCTTTGGTGGGCTCGTACTTGTTGGACGGGTTTGAGTATGAGTGAATGAATTTGTGAACGACTGGATATAAAATATTTACAACGAAGTGTTGTAAATTGGAGTACTCAATATTCACCAAGCATCTATCAATCCAAGAATAAAAGAAATGCAGTAAAAGAATGAGAAAAGAGAAGCAAAAAAATTCATATCTTATTCATCGGTATTCACTCTTTTTATAGAGTTTACAAGGGAGAAACCCTAAAACCTAATCTTACTAACTAATGGACTTCAAGCCCAATTATATATTAGTAATGTCCATATTAATATATTTATAACACTCCCCCTTGGACATTACTACATACCTCATTAAAAACCTTGCAATTAAAAACCCAACAGGGGAAAAAAAATTAGGCAAGGGAAAAAGAGTACATGATTTATAAAAATTCATGTGTTTTACTAGCTGCCTCGTTAAAAAACCTTTACCTAATAAACCCATTGGGAAAAACTTTGTTAAAGGAAAAAAGAGAACAACATTTGGTCTTCAGGACCTAATATTCAGGATATTCCATAAATAATATTGATATATTAATAATTAATATTTAGGTTCGGACATTCCATAAATATTATTTAGCTAACTTAGGTATTTTAATATCTCTTATACTAATATAACCATTTAATTCTTTGTAATTTTACATAGTGAGACACTAAGTGACTAATATATCCCTGACTTTTGATTTGTTTCCTTCAATTAGCTATTGAATTATAAATGTATTTTAAAAGTTGATAACTTTTGTATTTCTTATCGGTTTTACATATATAATATATCAAATTAATCATCTTTTCATTATCTTCGATTTGACATCCATATTGTATATATAAAATAAATAAATAATATTTACCTTTATAGTAATAAAAAATAATATTTATTAAATTTTATTAGAAAATAAAATTATTTCTCAGTTGATATATTTTTGTTTAATGTAGTTATATGTTGTAAGTTAAAAATATTATTATAATATAACACAAGTAACTCACACAAATAAAAAATTTCATACAAAATATATTATAATATTTATTTTTATAAAAGTTATTTAAATTTTCAACTACTTTTTCTCAATAATTTTAGATTTTAAAGAAAAAATTAGCAAGGACCCGTGTAATACACGAGCGTTGTACTAGTTTTCGGTATTACGTAATGTGATTAAGTTCCAATTTTTTCATCATGCATAAATATTTATAAGAATATTATATAAAATCTTAATATAGTCAAATATTTGGATTTTTTTTTTTTAAGATCTTTTGATTCAAGAAAAAAAAAAAACATTGGAAATTTTATATCTAAAGGAGCGTTTTGGCGCGAAATTTTGCACATGATTTGTTAGTGGAATCTCAATATTTTTTAAAAGTTTAATAAATATAGCAATATTTTTAAAAGTTTAATATGTTCAAATATGTCAAAATTAAAATCAAAAGTTCAAATAAATATAGCAATATTTTAAAATTAAAATATGTAAAAAATTTAAAAGTTTAATATGTTCAAAATTTTAAAATCTAAATTTGTGCTCAAATAAATATAGCAAAATTTTATGCGTTTTGTGCAAAATTGTGCGTTTTGGCGCCTAAGGGCATCTCCAATGGTAATAGTTATTACTAGCTATATAGTTAGCTGACGTGGATGTGAGAGATAAGAAAAATGACTATTTTACACTATTGGACCCACATACTCCTCTCACATGATCTTGGGCTACGTGAAATAGATAAGCTATTTGTTTGTAGCTAGTGACTACTCTCTCTCTTACTTTTCCACTGTCCACGTCATAATAGTTAGCCAAATAGCCAACCATTGGAGACGCCCTAAACGCAATTTCACCCCCTAAATTTCACCCCCTAAGTTTAAATTTGTGTGCAGAACATTATTTGCTATAATGTGCAAAACGCGAAATAATATAGCACAATTTTATGTGTTTATTTGCTACTATCTCCTATTCAAAATAAGTGTCGTTTTGAGAAGTTGCACAATTATTAAAAATATTTTTTTGTCAATAATAACCCTCATTAATGAGGATAGAGATAAATGTTTTGAAAAAAGCTGAAGAGTGAACATGAAAAGACGTAGTGTATTTATTAACTAGATGAGGGTAATAATAGAAAAATATGTACAAAATATCCAAAACGACATTTATTTTGTTAATAGTTGATAATGCCAAAATGACATTTAAAAAGAATATGAGGTAGTATAATGTTCGGAAATTTTATGCGTTTTGGCGCGAAATTTTGCACATTATTTGCACAAATCTAAATTTTCAAAATTTTATATGTAAAATTTTTGTGCTCAAGTTTTATATCTAAATTTGTGCTCAAATAATATGTTAATAAGATCTTTTGCACATTGGAAATTTTAAAATTTTTTACTTTTTAAATTTTTTTAAAAGCTCAAATAAATATAGCAATATTTTTAAAAGTTTAATATGTTCAAATATATCAAAATTAAAATCTCAAGATGTCTATAAAAGTTTAGAATGAATATATCTAAGTAATTTATAAATATTCATTATACAATAATTTATTCCATTGTAATGAAAATCTATATCTATATATATATTAAAAGCCAACATATTTACCAAAAATATTAGCAAGAAACGTCAACACACATTTAATGCATATTTTATTTGGAAAGTTTTTACTATATGCATTAAATGCTTGCAATTTACATTTACTATCCAAATATGATCTTCAAGATTTTTTCCTTAAATAATTTATGCAATGATTTTACTGATATCCATTATAATTAATATTTGTCGAGTAATATTTTTTAACCTTTATTTAATTATATAACACTAATATTTTTTAAAAAATTAATATTATTTATTATTTAAAAAAAATTAATATTATTTATTATTTAAAAGATAATGATCACATCATTAAATGATTTTATTGATGGTTAGATAATAAAATTATAGTTATTCTTTAAAATTTCGACATGTTATTTATTTGTATATTATTGCCAACTATGATAGTGTTTTTATCACTTTTTTTTTTTATGTTTCAAAAACGAACTTATTGTAAAATATTTTTCTATTGCATAGTATGTTAAATAAACTATAAAGCCTTAGGATGAAAATTAGAAAAAAAATCTCTTGATTATGTAAGGGATTTATTTTTTGGCAATTTTTTTTTTTAAAAAATAATTATTATGAGAAAATTGAATTCTAAAAAACATGTGTGTGTATTTTGTAAACATTTATACTCAAAAATTTATTTTGAATTTCATTACATAAAGAAGACTACTTCTATAACTTTTATAAATAATAATAATTACATTATATGACTGTAAATTTTATAATAAAATAATAATTGAGCATTATATGGTGAACAATAATTAATAATTTTTTTTTTCCTATATCAATGAATAAATATGTATTCCAAAATCAAATAAATATTAGTATGACGTGTTAGCAAAATTATATATTAATTAACATGTTAATTTTTTGGCTTAAATAAACGCCACTTATTAAAAGATGTGAAATATGAATGATCCAAGCCTATTGCTTTTTTTGTCTAGACGTACAAGTCCTATAGAAATAATTGATTTATTATATGTATCACGTGCATCGCACGGGTATGCACTAATAAATGACCTTAAAATTGTGCATCCCGTGCATTACCCATGTTCACATTTTGGCCTATTACAGGTCACGTACTATATATATCACGTACATTTTTTTTATTAATTTATATAATTATAGGAATGGATAAATGACCTTAAAATTGTGCACCTCGTGCATCGCACGGGCTCTGTACTAGTTTATATTAAATAGGATAAGTAGATAAAAAAAATTATTATGTCTATATTTTCATTTTTTTCCATAGACTATCTATAATTGAAAGTTTCCTTCAAAGTCGAGCGGCTGTACGCAAAAACCCTCCAAAACCCCCTTTTCTCTTCATCATTTTTCCAAACCAACCCCTTCTCTCATGGGCTACCCTTTCAACCCATCATCTTCAACCAAAAATGATGAAACGCAGGGCTTCCCGGTTCAAATTTGTTAAACGGCGACTCTTCAGCAGTCGCCCTCTGCCATTAGAGCCCCAAACTCCATCATTTTCTTCTTCACCATCCCAAAGCTCCCACAAGGACTCCTGCTTTTCTTTAGCGGACAATCTATGGCGCCGGGGCTTGTTTTCATCAGCTCAGAAAGTGATTCAGAGGCTGATTTCGCAGTCTTCAACTGTACCAGAGGCAATCTCGGCCGCCGATTTCGCCTTTATGAGAGGTATGGATCTCGATTTAGATAGTTATGGCAGTCTTATCCGCAAGCTAGTGATTTCGGGAGAGGCCCTGTTGGCCGAGGCATTGTACATGGACTCTGTGGTGGGCAAAGGTCTTGAACCGGACCGTCAACTGTTGAATTCTTTGATTATTTGTTACTGTAAGCTCGAAAAATTAGAGGAAGCGAAACTTTGTTTCGATAGGCTCGTTGGGTCGGAGGTTGTACCTTGGGTTGGTTCGTGCAATGCTTTAATGAAAGGTCTTGTTTTGAAAGATAGAATCTTGGAGGCTTATGACTGTTTCTGTTATATCAGTAAGGCCAATGATATCGTGCTCAATTTTGCGTGTTATAATAGGCTGGTTGAAGGATTATGCAGAAGGGGGTTTTTAGACGAGGGGCTTCATGTCTTCGATGACATGGTGGAAAAAAGGGTTCCACTTACTGCAAGTATCTGCAAATCACTGCTCATTGGCTTCTGCAAATGTGGACGTGCTGTGGAGGCCGAGATTTTGTGTACTGAACTCGAGTCTCATGGTTTTGAGGTCGATAAATTTATGTACACCTACCTGATTAATGCTTATTGCAAAGGGAGAAAAATGAAAATGTCCATGAGGTTGTTTATGAGGATGCTGAAAATGGGTTTCGAGCCGGATTACTACGTGTATAACACATTGATCCACGGATTTATTAACCTTGGTTTGTTCTCCGAGAGCATGGTGCTACTTAATATGATGGTGAATGCTGGTTTGAAGCCTAATTCAGTGACTTATCAGCTTTTTCTCCATAAGTACTGCAAAGACGGTAAAATTGATTGCGCATTAAAGCTTATGGATGACATGATCGAACGTGATATTGCTCCCAATGTGCACTGCTACACGGCAGTACTTGGTGCACTCTGTAAGGAACAAAAGGTGGAGGAAGTGTACAGGTTATACCACAAGATGCTTGATAGCAGGGTTGTACCTGACCACGTGCTTTTCTTCACCCTCGCCAAAAACCACCCGCCAGGGGATGAGCTGTACTTTGCTCTGACCGTTTTGCAAGCTATTGCCAAAGAATCTTGTAGTATCGATGTCTCGACTTTTTGTTCTTCGAGGCCCGAATCCGCGAGAGATGCAATGGTGGAAATCGAGCGTCTTCTTGACGAGATAGCAAAAAGTGGCTCTGTTCCAGCAGACGTGGCATTTAGTATCTATGTTATTGCCCTGTGTATGTGTGGGGAAATCGAATCTGCTCTGGATTGTATGGAAAAGATGGATAGTCTTAATCTGGTGCCTTTTCGCACTGCTTTTAATTCCTTGATAAAGTTGCTTATCGAGCAGGGTTTAGCTGAGACTGCAGAATCTCTACTTGAGGTTATGCGGGATAATGGGCTGATTCCTAATCAGTTAACTTTCTCGGTTATAGCAAACGCTCTCTGTAGAAAGAGTGATTTCTCGTCTGCTATTGATGTTTTGGATCAGATTGAAGAAAGGGGAATCAAGCCAAGCGTTGCTATTTATAACTCAATAGTCTGCTGTTTAGGCAAACAGGGGATGGTTCGTGACGCTGAGAATTTATTCTATCGAATGCTCAAGTTTGGTGTGGATCCTGATCAAAAGATTTTTGTCACGATGATTAATGCCTATTCGAGAAATGGGTGGGCTTATGAAGCCCGGAGGTTGTTTGAGAGGATGAGGGATTATAATCTTAGACCTAACTCTCATGCTTATACGGCTCTTATACCTGCGCTAATTAAGAAAAACATGATCCAGAAAGGTTGCTTGTACGTCGACAGAATGCTTAGAGATGGTTTCATGCCAAACGGTGTTCTCTATACCTCACTCATTAAACAGTTCCTGAGGAAGAAAGAATTTGATTTTGCTTTCAGGTTGTTTTGTTTGATGAATAAAAGTGGGCTCGAGCAAGACCTGGTCACATATATCACATTGATATGTGGCGTTTGCAGGAATATTCGCGAGTACACTGGAAGTTGCTATCTGTTTTATAATAAGAGATCGAACTATAGGAATGAAACCTTGTTCCGTTTGTTACATCAAACAGCTGTTTTGCCCGATGGAACTGGTTTGAGAATCTCGATCAATTCTGAAGCCGAGATGAAATATTTCGTCATTGATCTGATCCAGAAAATAGAAAAGGTCTTGCTTACGCCGGATTTATATTTGTATAACGGAATAATATCCGGGTTCCGTTGGGCCCACTGCTTGCCGGAAGCCTACAAGCATCTCGATCGGATGCAACAAGAAGGATTGCACCCTAATCACGTGACTTTCAGTATTCTCATTGACGGGCATATTCAAAATGGTGAAATCAATTGCGCCGTGAGATTATTCAATAAAATGAACGCGAACGGTATTGCTCCCGACCGAATGCTGTTCAACAATTTAATCAGAGCATTTTGCAACGCTAGGAGGTTGTTAGATGCATTATCTGTCGCTCATATGATGCAGAAAAGAGGGTTTTCGCCTTCGGCATCTTCTTATGAGAAACTTCTCCGGGTTCATTGTGCTCGCGGGTCTAGTGTTGATGCACTGAGGATATATGAAGACATGATTTCTCATAATTATTTTCCCTGCCGGTATAATGCTAATTGGCTGAGTTTCGTATTATGCAAAGATAACAAATGGGATGAAGCTCGAGCTGTGTGTGACATGCTGTCGGATAGAAGAAACTATAGACTGTTGAATAGAAGAAACTATAAGAAGAATGCAGTGGCATATTTAGAGCATTCGGGCACAAATGTTAAACATCATTCCTGAAATAGTTCTTTTCATGTGGACTACTAAAGGTCATACCCCACCATCTATTGGTTTTACTTATTTTATTTTATTTCTTTCTGTGGGGATTGATGATGCTAGCGCTGTTTTCTTATTTTTTTCTTATAGGTTTGTGGGTCAGGGGAGAAAGTTTGTTAAAGATTGTTTTGTTTGTAAAAATGGTGACATTGTGCGGAGGATATCAATTATGAAGGAGTTAACTGGCTGATAGGCGGAAGATTTAAGGAAAAACATCAATGATCCTATTACCATTCATTAGTTTGTTTGTGGTACCATGCATTTTAGTGTCTTTTCTTTAGTTGCAATTTTGTTTAGTCAAGTGTATCTGTGTTTTTCTACTAGCTTTTTCCTATGCTGCTATACATGTATGTGGAATTCTCTGCCTTTAATTTGGATAATTGAACTTGATTTTCTCAATTTGATGAGTAGTGTAAACCATGGATATGAAATATGCTAGGATGCATCTTTCTTTGAAAACCTTCAGACTTCAGATGCGATTCTCAACAATTTCTGTTCAGATCTTTCTTATATGGTTGTTCTTCATTTATTTTTTTTTTTTCTTAATCTTTCTCAGCATGCTTTGTATGATGGTAAGATCCAATATAATTTGATTGCCGGGGGAGTGCACGAGAAAGCAAGCTTTGGCTTGTAGACTTGTCCGGAAGTGAACAGCTTGCAAAGACTGATGTTGAAAGCGATTGTCTCACGGAAGCTCAGAATATCAGTTGGCCGTATTTGGCTCTTGGAGACGTGATATCTGCTTTAGCTTATAAAAGCAAAACAGTATACCATACAGGTCGCTTTTCAATAAAATTCTCATTTTTCCTACTTCCAATTTACAGACCGACTTTGCTAATATATAAAGAGCATAAAATTTCAGGAACTCCAGAGGGCATATGTGAAATCTTGAAAGATAGAAATTACCGTAAGTTAGGATAAATCCGAAGGTAGTTTTTTGTCGTTATTCCATGCGAATATAATGTGTTTTTCCTTTCTCCTCGAATCATTTTGTAACTTGAAAAGTTGTTTGCAGTTGCATATGCTGCTGTTACCAACCCGGCCAAGTATTTCCCAAGTCTGAAACAAGTGGGAACAAGCTGCTTCCAGGTGATTTAATGGCGCTTCTGATTTCGAGTTCTGTTAGGTTTTGTTTTGAATTACGAACAAGGTCCTTCTTCACCTGTTGTACAAGAAAAAGGCATGAGGTGTGAGACCAATGCATTGATATCAGTGATTGTACTAAAATGTTAGACCAATGTTGAAATTAATCAAGTATATAGATGGATAAACGGTTTTTCAGGGTGTAAAACTGGAGGAGCATGCTCACAATTGAATATGGACCACCAAGCATGAATAAACATGAAAAAATTAGTCATCCACTCATTGTTCCCTTATCATATATAATAACAAACACGATAACCCATCTCTTTGCCACCCTCGATCACAATTCCTCTTCCTTTCAAAGGTCGGAAAACCTCTAGAAAATTATTAAGCATTAGAAAAATGGGTTTACCGACTGGCACTATTGTTTTCTTGATATTGTCCACTTTTGTCCTCTTCTCCACAGCCACCGTCGACCATGGATGCACGGACGTGAGCACATTCTGCATGAATGCAACCACGGCCGTGGACGATAAACATATCTGCACACAATTGGTATTACATTCTTTTTTCCGGTCGACCCATAATTAGAAGGCAAAGAAAACAAAAATAATGAAAAACAGAACACATTTAGGGCATCAAGACATACAAGAAAAGACCATGATAACTTCACTAATATGCAATTAGTATATATTCTAACAGGTCAATGGTGCCAAGACCTGGCCGGAGGCAATGACGAACGCAGTCAATGGCGTTATCGGAATAGCCAAAAGTGCCAAACCCTTGGTGGTTGATGGCGTGGGGTCAAAGTTGCCGCTGGCACTGAAGCTCCAGGCGAAGGAGTCAATAACCTCCGGCTGCCGGGATTCGTTCGTGACATACGTGAATAACTTAGAGAAATGCATTGGGTTTGTAAAGCACGACCCGTTTTCCTCCCTGGAGACATATCTTTCTGGAAACACATTCTTCGACTGCAAGGATGGGCTCGACGAGTTTCAGGTCTGTATTCCAGAAGTCAATAATTTCTATCACCGGACAATCAAGTTGTCAAACATCCTTCTCTCCATTTACCAGACGAAGCCGAAAAAGAACTAGCGGGTGTATATGTCTTCTGAATGCTACTTTATTACGAAATATGTGTATATATGTATGCAAACGGGTGGCTTCTCTCCCAGTGTAGTGTTCATGGTGCGGCTGATAGAGAGTGTATAATCAACATCCTTCTTGATTTTCATATATATGAGAAACGAGTTGTTGTTTACTTGTTTTAAGCCAGAAAAAGATACAGATAATATGCCTGAATAACTGTGGAGAACAAAATAAAGAAAAAAAACACCCGTCCAGAATAAGAAACTTCTATTATATAGAACTCAAGAAGAAGTCAACAACATTCATAACATAACCAACTACAAGGAATTGACCAGGATGCATATACATATAGCAAAGAATAACGAACCAAATAAAGCGATAATAAAAAGAATGAGTCGCAGTTATATAATAAATTTATTATGACTCAAAGTCCCGCCGTGAAGGGCACGTCGGTAGCCGGCAGCCACGACCGCCCAACAATAAAGCTCCCCACCGTAAACCTCACTGCCTCCGCCGAGCTCGTGATGACCCGGTACCCCCTCCACCGTACCCTACGGGCCGTGCCCGAACCCGGGCCGGTGTTCCTATACTCCCCATAATACAATGTGTTGAGCGCAAAATTCCCATTCCACTCGAGCCATCCAGCCGGGTTAATAAACGAGCCGAGGTACGTCTGCATGAACACGGTCCTCGAGTACTCCTTCCAGGGTCGACCCAGGTAGACCCGCACCGACCCCACCACTGGGGCCAGGTCGGCAGCGGGCACAACCCGGGAGTTGTGGATGGAGATGCCGGTGTTTTGGTTGGGGTCGGTTCGGCCCTGGGCAGTGATGGCGATCTGCTGGCCGTTCATAGGGCGGCGGGGGAGGATCATGCAGTTTTGGAGGACGGCGGCCGCATTGCCGAAGATGAAGTCGACCGTGCCGTAAATGTAGCACTCCTTGTAGAACTGGCGCTGGGAGTGGACATAGAGTGTGTCTTGATATCCCTCGAACGCGCAACGGTAGAAGACTGAGAGGTCGGACCCGGACCGCAGGGCCACCGCCTGGTGGTTCTGTGGGCCGGCTGTGTTGCGGAAGGTGATGCCGCGGGCGATGAAACCCGACCCGGTCACGGCTGGATATTAGAATACATGAGGAATTAGTAAATCAACTAAGTTGATCAAATTGCTATTAGGACAAGTTCAAAAATCACAAATTAAATTGTTTAAGTAAATTTGATTATTCTTGAAATAACCACGCGTTGAAATGAAGAAGCTAGCTAGCAAATGTTTCAAACTATTAGTTTGAACCTGTCTTTCTTGGTTAAGTGCTTGAATTTTTAATTCACCTTTCAAAGATGATTATTTATTATTCACTAAATGGTAACAACCTGCTTACAAAAATAGTAGGACCATCGTATGCAAAAAAATTACATCAGGCCATCCTCATGTTAAGCTTGCTTATATTTTGATTTCAAGTTTTTTCATTTAGTGAAATAGAGAATTTTGAATAGTGAATTATAGTTGGTGTTATGTGTTAGAGTAATTGGTTATCATTATTTAATTATATTAATAATATTAAAGTTAGTGAAGTTAAATTAAAATTAAGTTATATTTTGAATTAGAAAAATTGATCAATTTTTTATTCGATTTTTATATCCAAAGCACAACCCGAAAATCTCATATTCGAAGCAAAATCTCGGTTAAAACGACTTACCAACGGTGGCCGAACGGAAAGTGGTGTAGCCTCCTCCGACACTCCTGCTACCCGTAATAACGGTATCCCTCATCCCATCACCAACCAACATGATGTTCCTCAAACTATTCCCAATCTCCAAATTCTCCCTATAAACCCCTCTCCTCACGTGGATCACAAACCGGCCGCTCCCGCTCCTCCTTGCTGCATCCAAAGCATCCCGGATCGTCCTGTAGTTTCCCGACCCGTCCTGCGCCACCACCACGTTCGGCCTCACCCCCGCCTGCAGTAGCCTCCGCCTGTCTCGCGGCGGAACCCACGCCGGGAACCCATAGCCGTACGTCTCGTGGATGCTCGAGTTGGTGCTCCCGAGAGCCAGCGTGTTGCATATGAGTTTCGACACATTGTTGTTGGACACGATG